GGACAGAAAGTCTGGTATGTCCGGCAGTACTACCGGTGTTTCGACTATCATTTCCAGCAGGAGCGGAAACCAGGCCTTGGTCGGCCAATTGGGCGCCACCTGAGTTAATATGCAGGTGGGCTCTTGTCGAAGTTTCTCCAGTACCCGGTGAATTAGCGGGAAGGGAGGAAAGGCGTACGCATCCATGTGGGACCAGGGGATCGATAAGGCGTCCACAGCCCATGCTCCTGGTGTCGGCAGGAGTGTTACGTATGTGGGAGCTTGGCGTTCCGGGGTGCGGCGAACAGGTCTATCTTTGGACCGTCCCACAGCCGAAACAGTCTGGAGGCTACTCACTGGGGGATCTGCCACACCGTGTTCTGGAGACGCAGGCGCCTCGAAAGGGCGTCTGCCAGACCGTTTCTCACCCCTGGAAGGTGGTGTGCGGTTAGCTCCACATTGTATTCCAGGCACCTAGGGAGAATTTGCTCTGCTAGAACCGACAACGATGGGGAACGCGTCCCCCCTCCTTGTTGATGTAGGAGACCACCGCTGTGTTGTCTGTGCGGAGCATGAACTTCGGGTCGAAAGTGTGAAAGTGCTAGGTGCACTGCTTTCAGCTCGAGCCAGTTCATATGGTGGTCCCGAACCCATTGCGGGGGCCATATTCCTTGGGCTTGTTTGTCCAATAGATGTGCTCCCCACCCTTGGAGGGAGGCGTCAGTTACCAGAGTCATGGTTGTGATGAGTGGGTCCAAGGGGACCCCCTGTCTGAGGTTGGTCAGTGACGACCTCCAGGACAGGGTTTCCTTTACTTGGTCCGGGATCAATACTCGCCTGTTTAGTTCCCGTATGTGAGCTTGGTATTGCAATAACAAGCGTTGGACCGGGCGGCTGCGTAGTGCAGTCTGGGGAACTACCCTTCGAACGGGGGGGCACTGACAGGGGCGGAGGAGATGTCAGTGGTATTCTGTAACCGCGTGTGACCACTTGGAGCGTCCTGGGATCGGTTACCCGCTGCCTCCAAGCCGGAATGCACCGGCGCAATCTGCGTGCGACAGGGATCTGTGGCCCTGGGTTCGGCGATCGCAGAGGTAAGCGTCAAACATGCTTACCCCGCTGCCAGGGATGATGACCACCCGAGGAGGAGCCACCACCTGGTCCTCTCTTTCCTGGGGGCGCGCCGCTACCCTTCCCTCCCGCGGATGGGTACGAGCGCTTGCCTCCTGGCTGACTCTGTTTAGCGGAGCTAGTCCTAGGGCGTTGTGCTTTCTGTGCTTGGGGCGCCCTCCGTTTACCCTTGGCAACGGCCAACTGGCTAGCGGATTCGACTTGGACCATTTGGTTTGCTACATCCCGAAGCTCTGCGACTGCCCCCGCTATCTCCCCATCAAAGAGGGTGGAGGATCTCCAGTCTGCGTAACTAAGGCGGTGGCGTACCCCCTGACTCAGTTCGCTGGCGAAAACACACGCCTCTAAAACAGTAGTAGCCCCAGCCAAGAGAGCCATATGACACTGGAGGAAATCGCACATAGCCGTACGGTGGCCTACCATTAACTGTGTCGCCTGCTCTAGGAGGCGAGTGCGTTCTGCATCTGAGGTCTCAGAGTCCTGGGCGCGCACAAGAATGCGCTCCAGTGTGGCACCCACAAATTCAAGGAAATTGATGGGTCGCAACTCCGCTCTCAGGGCGCTCGGCTGGACCAGGGGAGACGTGCGGATGGGGTCGATCTGGATCCCGGCGCCTGTGATCCCATCAGCGTAGAAGAGACCGTAAGCGTCTGCTTTAGGATCGAAGGTGGGGGAATATACATAGCGTCACCTGGACTGATAATATTCCGCATCACCCCAACAGCGTGGCTCACCGAGTCATTACGCAATGTGGACTCTGAGGGACCGCCCGAGTACCCACTGTATCCGACGCGAGTGAACTGCCACCCCTCAGCCTAAATATGTGGGCGAGAGCGTGTTCAAGAGTGCGTCTCATGACAGGGTCGGTTCTGTGGGTTGGCGAAAAGGGAGTCGAAACCCACAGCGGAACTCGGACTTGAGGGTAAATTAACCAGTCCGGTACCGCGCGGTGAACCCTGGCTGGTTGAAATCGGGGGGGGGGGGGGTGTACAATGTATGTACTGACCCGAAACCCTTGCCCCGAAAACGGAGACAGCTCGCTCCGCCTGCAGGTGATCTACTCTGCCTGCCAAGGCCGCAATTTGCCCTGACAGTCCTTCGACCTATGCCCTCATTTCAGCGGCAAAACCGGCGCCGTGCGAGGATGGGTCCACAACGGGACCGAGCGCGGGCCCCATAGGAGGAAAGACCTCCAGGGGCAAAGCCTCGCTGGTGCCGGTAAAGTTGGGAAACCCACTGCCTGAAAAAACAGACTGTGTAGATGCCCTCCGATCAGCGGAGGGAGACCGAAAAAATCGGCAACCCCCTTTGCTTGGTATCCCGGTATGAGAACCGGTAACCGAGCGCGAGGACTTGTCATTCATGCCAACGCACAACTCACTCATACCCATGCCGGTAGCACTTGCCGCGCGACCTTTTCGCGAACGAGCGACGCAGTCAGTCTCGGCTATTTTGACATGCTGCTGGAACGATTCCCAGGCTTCCGAACCTCAGCGATTACACAATATTCTCTGGGCAGACACCCGAACCCCAAACGCACGTGAAACAACGATAACACTTTGAATGCGGGTTCCATTCCTGCAATTGCTGAGTACACTAAGTACAAATCCGTCTCATAAACTGAGGAGACAATACCGGCGGTGAGCCTCTGGCGTTGCCAGTGCATCTGTCCATTTCTAAATACATTAAAAATAAAAGACGACATGCATGAGGGAAAAGAATTACAGTTGTAAAAGGTGCCGCCATGAAATCAACATGTGACTACGT